CGCCAAGGTTTCGTCATGACGAAACCATGACGAAACCATTCGTCATCACGAAAATAGTTTCGTCAGGCATCATTAATTACTACTCAAATTTTAGAAAAATTTAAAAAAGCAAAAGAACATTTAGAAAATGAATATGAAATAGTGAATGGATTTATTTCACCATATTCAGAAAAACATGTTAATTCAAAATTTTATGAAGAGGCAATACCATTACATCACAGATTAGAAATGATCAAGATAATTATAAAAAATTTATCTTGGATAAAACTTGATGAATATGAATCATCATCAGAAAAAAATATTTACAAATCTCATGAAATTATTCATAATTTATCTAACCTTTTAAATAAAGAAGCAAAAAAACCTATTAAAGTATTTTATTTTTGTGAAGCAAACCAAATTATAGATGAAGAAATTAAACCAACTCATTTAGACAATTATGGGTTAATAATAATTGAAGGATATCATAAAGAAAAAGACAAAGATCCAGATTGGAAAGAAAAATGTAAAGAAACAATAGGCAAACTATATGACAAAAATATATGGGAAAGATTCCAAAAAGAATTAATTTTCAGGAATTATAATGAATCTACAATTAGTTCGGAAATGATTAGAAAAATGATAATGAATAACGATGAAAATTGGAAAGAATATTATTCAAAAGAAATGGTGACCTATATAGAAAACAACAAAAAGGATTTTTTTAAAACCATTTAGTGAGTTCTAAATTATATATTTTATAACGAATTTTAAAATATTAACATTTTTATATTTATATTATTGATAAACTTCTAGTTTATTTTACATATTTATAGTTAACTTTAAAAATTTGCTTTATTTTGATTTTATTGTACTTTTTATTAAAATGTAATTTATATTATAAAATAAACATGATCTAAGCGTATTTACAATTTATCAAACTATATTATAGTCAATTTGTAATCATAAGTATAATTATGACTATATTAAATGCGAACAAAAGCATTACTCCTATTTTGGTATCCAAAAATTCTATTTTTTTTGTTTAATATTCGAATTCCTAACTTTCAAACGTTATTAAATTTTCTAATTTTTTGAATAGGATCTAGGTTTTTTTTTTTGTTCACGATACCTTAAACAAATATCGAGATTTTCCAAATAAGTTACGTCACAAGATTTACGATCTAAATATTCTGAAAATTTAAAAATTTTGTGTAGATGCACATATACACATGATATATATTCCCTTTGTTTAAACAATTTTACTTCGATACAATTATTGATTCAATCGAATAATTCGAAATACAATGTGATCGGAGCCTTACACTAAAGTACAAAATCAAACGCATGTGACAACAGACATCAAAACGTGAGCGTAATTCGTAAATGTTGATTCGACGTATAACTTTGGTATAAGATCTAGGCAAAATATCTGTAACATCACCTTATTAAAATTGACGTGAAAGCAAAAACAAATTTCTCAACATTTTAATATAAATTTTTTGAACTATAAGAGGCATTCGCCAAACAGTCGTACTAATTAAATGTAATTTATGCACAAATTAAAAATATCTCATCACAGGGTTATTGGCGCCATTTTGACATGCTCGCATTCAAGTAATTGTGATGAGCTGAAATGAAGACGTGGACCTTTAGACTTATTCGTAATGCAGTAATGATGATAATTACCTTACATTGTTTGTTGAATCATATATAACAACAACTAATATTATTTTCACTCTAATCTTCAATTAGGTATAAATTTCAATTTCTTTGATTAATTTGCAAATACCGTAAATGGCCGGATAAAAGACTCTGATCTCTTACATTCCATCGATTTTAAAACCTATAATAGACCGTTGAAAGTTTATATAATTGTAAGGAGAATTTTTAAAGAGCACGTGTTTTTCATTTCTAACAGGCAGTTTGGATATTTGACAAAAATTATATTTTATTAATGTAGATTTTGTAGTATATAGTGAATCGGATGTTGTGGTGATCTTTTATCCGGCAATTTGTGGTGCGTAGAAAACTATATCGCTCTAGTCCCCAGTTACCTGTTACCAATGTAGTCCTCAGTTTTTACGAATAGTGTGGATTTACGTGTTCTGCTGAGGTATGTAAACTAAAACAATTTAAAATCGAAAATTCTTACACAAAGTATAATTTTTGCAATAAATTACTAATTTCTTACGAAATTTAAATTGATATATAGGTATGCAGCTCTAAATGCTTAATATTTTGGGATAAATCTTTGCAAAAAAAAGGGCCATTTCTTTAAAGAATTAAAACAAAAAAGTTATGAAGCAATTTTTTAAAAATTTACAAGTGGATTAACTAGGCTTCTTTTTGCATTTAAATGAAAAGGTGAATTCGTAACTCTACTTGTAGAGGTAAAATAATCATTACATAAATTTTATCCTAACATGTTGAAGCGTTAAAGTTGTATATAAATTTAAATTTCACGAAAATTATATTATGCTTCGCGTCATGCTCAATATTAATTTAGTTCATTTTAAAATAGGTATAAATTTTTAAAAAAAATAATAATCATCATCATAACAATTTATACTAAATCATAAATTTATATGTATGCATTTAAATACTGTAAATTGCTTAATTATGGTTTGTAAAATTTGTTTTAAAAGAAATGGATGTTCTATTATTCTTGAATATTTTATGTTACAAATGTTTTTAATCTAATAAACTGCTCTAATATTACGAAGTATGGAATGTAGTATTTTGCTTTGACCGCCTGTAGTGAAAGTCCTAACAGTTAAACCTCTTCAAGCACTGTTTATTTTTATTGGTTATTATAAAATTAAAGTAGTAGATCAACGGTATTATTATAACTTACAAACTTATATTATTAGAAAATAAATAACAGTAAAAAAATTGCTTTTTTGTATTATAGTCGCGCACCCATATAAGCACATCCCATATAAGTATATCATATGACTCTTTTATAAGTATATTTATTTCGTGAACCAACTATTAAATTAATTATTTAAAAATAATTGTTTACAACATAAGATATCCAATTTTAATTTATTTTTTAAAAGGATTTTAGCATTTATCGCCGGTGGCGATACCACCACCTTTTATTTCTTTTATCAAATTTAGAAATAGGGAGCAATTTTAGACCAAGGTTAGGTTGGTCCAAATCTTTGTTAGGGTTATGTTTTTGGGGGTCCTGAACATTTTTACTTAGTACCTTCGACATGTGTTAGCTAGTAGGTTTTTGAGATATAGTATCC